CATTCGATGATATCCACTACTGGGAGATGTGACAAAGTGATTTGTGAGCCAGGGCTTGCACAGAGACCGCAGGGAGGTGTGACTGTCAGGGCGCGATTTTGTTTATGGTGTTCTTGAGGGCTCTTGTTTCTTTTTTCCTTCATTGAGGAATTACTTATCAGCTACTGTTTCATAATTGATCAGCAATTATCCTTGACACTTTTATCGCGGGAGCTGTCTTTAAGCCTCATTTACTGAGTTTTAAGCGGAACTCATCTGATTGTTACAGATTCAGGAGGGCATATTGTTTGACGAAAACAAAAGATACATCAATGGATTTGATTTCCACTGACCAGGAGCGTACTGCGTCGACTCTGTGTCAGGCTCATTCTCTGTTGATGGCGTGAGAGTGCCAGCCTCGCCTAGGTGACTTTTTTCTGAACACCACACACTAGAGAGCTTCAACAAGACAAAACTTCACTTACTCTCTGTAGCTCTGACCCATAGTTGTGGGCGTTTCTGTCCGTGTTGTCGTTAGCGCAACAGAATGTGAAGGGCTATGTGTAAAGATTGAAGATGTGTAGTCAGCTCTGTCTGTAGATGTGGAAAAATATTTTGAGGATATCTGGTGGACAGATGTTTGAATCGTTGCTGTTTTGGTAGTACTTTCTTCCGTTGTTGATGAATACTGGCCTGAGACCGAAGAGGTGCCCTCTGTGAATGCTTGGCTTGCTGTTGTTCCGGCAGTCGTTCCTTCATGGGATGTCGAGTCCTGAAGTGAAGTCGAGATGCTTTCCGTTGACATTCGATCCGTTGTTGCTTCAGAAGTGGTTTCTTCATTCGATGACGATTGCTGAGGTGAAGTAGCCGTTGTGCTTTCTGTAGATATTTGGTCCATTGTTGTTTCGGTAACTGTTCCTTCAGGTGATGAAGAATAGCCATCAGAAGTCGAGAGCAGGAGCTCTGCTGAACTTTGGTCAGCTGTTGTTTCTGTAGATTCCCCTCCATCTAGGGACGACTTCCACACTGAAGCAGTGGTAGCACGTTCCGTGGTCATTTCGCTTGTTGTTGTTTCGGTAGTGCCTTCTCCAGCTACCGTTTCATAGTCTTCAGCTGAAGTCGATGAGTAGTCCGACATAGCCCGAGTTGAAACTGATGAATAATCCGACGTAGAAGAGCTGTTAACCTCTGATGGAAATTCAGTCAGTGGTGAAGTCGTGTTCTCGTAAGTTCCTCTTGACTGACCTGTTTCGTACCGCCATGGTATTATCTTGGGAGGTTCCGCCCGCTGTCGTGAGATAGTCAGAACCCACGAATGTTTGCGACTGTCTTGAATCTGTCGTATCATTTGCGTCTCGTGTAACTGGTGAAGACAAAGACGAATTTTTTGAAGAAGGATCGGGTGGTTCACTAAGTGCTACCCCCAGTACTTATCGTGACTTTCGCTGTTTCAAGCGGAAATGGATCTTCTGAAGAAATCCGGGATTGTGTTGACGTTGAAGTAGAGGGCGCTGTCGAGGACATTTGGCCAGAAGTTCCCACAGTTGTGACTTTTGTAGAAGTAGTTAGTGTGGACGTTTGGTCAGAAGTTCCCGTAGTTGTGGCTTCCGTAGAAGTAGTTGGTGTGGACGTTTGGTCAGAAGTTCTCACAGTTGTGACTTCTGTAGAAGTAGTTAGTGTGGACGTTTGGTCAGAAGTTCCCGTAGTTGTGGCTTCCGTAGAAGTAGTTGGTGTGGACGTTTGGTCAGAAGTTCTCACAGTTGTGACTTCTGTAGAGGTGTCAGTGAAGAGGACGTTTGGCTCGTAGTTTCCACAGTTGTGACTTTTGTAGAAGTAGTTGGTGTGGACGTTTGGTCAGAAGTTCCCACAGTTGTGACTTCTGTAGAGGGTGTCAGTGAAGAGGACGTTTGGCTCGTAGTTTCCACAGTTGTGGCTTCCGTAGAAGTAGTTGGTGTGGACGTTTGGTCAGAAGTTCTCACAGTTGTGACTTCTGTAGAGGGTGTCAGTGAAGAGGACGTTTGGCTCGTAGTTTCCACAGTTGTGACTTTTGTAGAAGTAGTTAGGTGTGGACGTTTGGTCAGAAGTTCCCGTAGTTGTGGCTTCCGTGGAAGTAGTTGGTGTGGACGTTTGGTCAGAAGTTCTCACAGTTGTGACTTCTGTAGAGGGTGTCAGTGAAGAGGACGTTTGGCTCGTAGTTTCCACAGTTGTGGCTTCCGTAGAAGTAGTTGGTGTGGACGTTTGGTCAGAAGTTCCCGTAGTTGTGGCTTCCGTGGAAGTAGTTGGTGTGGACGTTTGGTCAGAAGTTCTCACAGTTGTGACTTCTGTAGAGGGTGTCAGTGAAGAGGACGTTTGGCTCGTAGTTTCCACAGTTGTGGCTTCCGTAGACGTGGTTGGTGTGGACGTTTGGTCAGTAGTTTCCACAGTTGTGGCTTCCGTGGAAGTAGTTGGTGTGGACGTTTGGTCAGAAGTTCCCACAGTTGTGACTTCTGTAGAGGGTGTCAGTGAAGAGGACGTTTGGCTCGTAGTTTCCACAGTTGTGGCTTCCGTAGAAGTAGTTGGTGTGGACGTTTGGTCAGAAGTTCTCACAGTTGTGACTTCTGAGGGTGTCAGTGAGGAGGACGTTTGGCTCGTAGCTCCTACAGTTGTGACTTTTGTAGAAACAGTTGGTGTGGACGTTTGGCTCGTAGTTCCCCTAGTGGTGAGTTCTGTAGAAGTTGTTGGTGAGGACGTTTGGCTGGTGGTTCTCGTAGTTCGGGACTGTAGTGGCAGTCAATCCAGTTGTGTACGGTCCTGTAGTCATTTTCGGCGCGGCAGATGTTGTGTAGGGTGTTGTGGAGGCATCAGTGGTACAATTCACTTCAACTAAGCCAATGAGCTCGCAGTATTTTGGGCACCCACAAGGACACTTTCCTATGTAGCTTCCAATTGCAGATGAGTTCGTTATTAGTTTCCAGAATGATACCCCAAGATGGTTTTTTCTGGCACAGATCAGGGCACACGTACTTGGACTGTTCAGCATAGGAAGTGTTACCGATTTCATAACAAGGAGCTTCATCGTCCTTTCCACTGCATTGCGTCCATGCTGAATGCTCAGAATATTGTTTTGAAATTTTTCCAAAGAATTCAAGCCAATCTTCAGCGCTGGTCGAGCATGCCAGGTCGTTTGGTAATGTTCCGTAAATGCCTAGCACCACAACACGCCGTAATTGTTCGAAAAAGAAACGAGAAAAACGCGGATCTGCGTTTTTTCGCTTTTTTGCTATAACTCAGTGAACTTTCTCATATGGAACCCCATACCGTTAGACTCAGCTCGTCGAGTTCTATAAGCTGGCATCCTGAAAAAATTAGAAAAAGTCAAAAATTGAACTCTGCTTCCTATCGAAGTACCTGAGGACACTCGTTAGCGAGCGAGTCTCGCTATAATTGTAACCAGAGGGTAATCGTTGGGAATTAAATCATTCAGGAATCAAATAACGTACTGTATCGCGTAAGAAGTGATTAAAATTAGACAGTTGTGTTTCCCAAATGATACTGATCATTACGATGCCATTTTCCTGAAAATGGAGGGGTTTCGCTCGATGTCTTCGGACGATATAGCTTTTTCAGTTCGAAAAATCTCGGGCACTTGTTCAGTTCGGAGCACATGAGCACAATGGGCCTGACGTATGGAGCCCTATTTTCCTCAATATTCGCGCAATTCAAGAATGAAGCCACAAAGAACTAGGATAAATACTCGATTTTCTGCGTCATTAAACAGGCTAGCTCTAGCTCTCAGAGTGCCACCGAAAATTCTATTAAAAAGCTTCATGCAGAACATTTTGTGCTTTCCAACAACTTGGTGGAAAACAGTGGTATACTCTAGACTGCTTGTTGTTATCGGGTGCCAACTTCGAAAATCGAGTATTTACCCTAGTATAGCACAGATGAAATCAAAAAGCACCTCGTGCTCATTCCGAGTAGCTGGAAAACCTTCTTTTGACTTCTCTGTGCGATACTAGGGTAAATACTCGATTTTCGAAGTTGGGCGAATATCGGGAAAGCAGGTTTCTATACAGGGGGGGGGGCAAAAAAAACTTTTTTCTTCCTTGACTTTCGAGGCGCTATAAGTTACACTTTATTAAATTCTTATCGGACATTCTACCACCATATTAAAGAGCATATTAAATACTATCATAGTACTCCTCTAAATCCGTGCCTGAGTTCAGCGAGATAGTTGATTTCTCCGCCACTGTAGACCCCCTTGTTGAGCTCCTCCCGAACCCGGTAATTGAGAGGGTTTAGGTCAGGGGACATACTTAAATATTTCATCTTCTTCAGGTACTCAACGCCCTTCCATTCCAAGTAGGCAAGAGTTTTCCCAACGCCCTTTGATTCCATGTGGTGTCACCCAATCCTGTAGCAGTACAAAGTTTCCAAGAAGGTACGGGCGACGACATGTGGAGAGGATATTCTTCTTTAGTTGCTCGATGTAACCGCCAGCGCTCACCTTCAGTCCGGGGCCCACGAAGAAAATATCGGTCTCTCCATTCCAGGTACGTCCGGTCCCCACCATCAACTGGCGCCTTGGCGACTGAGGTGAAGATGATGTCCTGGACCGTAGCGACGTTGTCGGAGCTGCTCGATGTTGGAGGTCTTCCAGATCGAGAGTACTGGTCTCCAGGTAGCTATCCATGGGTGACTCCATACTAGAAGTTTCGCAGCTGTTTGGAGGTGACATGAATTCCAAAGGTCTTCTCCAGTCAGGCTGCGACTGGAGATGACTTCATATTTTGGTGTACATGAAGGTGATGGGCGAGAGCCAGCTCCTGCTTATAGAGGAACATCTTGGGTATCTTCCGCCCTGGTACTCGTATCCACGTCCTCTGTCTGGGCTGCGAAAACTTTGCTGATATGTGACTCGGTCGAAATGTCTTTTTTTTGCCCCCCCCTGTACATTAGGCGCGTTGTGCTCGTGTGCTCAGAACTGATCCAATGCCCGAGATTTCTCAGAACTGAAAAAGCTATATCGTCCGAAATGACATCGAGCGAAACCCCTCCATTTCTAGGAAAATGGGCATCGTAATGATCAGTATCATTTGGTGAAACACAACTGTCTAATTTTCAATCACATCTTACGCGATACAGTTCGTTATTTGAATCCTGAATGATTTAATTCCCAACGATTACCCTCTGGTTACAATTATAGCGAGACTCGCTCGCTAACGAGTGTCCTCAGGTACTTCGATAGGAAGCAGAGTTCAATTTTCGACTTTTCCAGTTTTTTAGGATGTCAGCTTATAGAACTCGACGAGCTGAGTCTTACGGTATAGGGTTCTACATGAGAAAAGTTCACTGAGTTATAGCAAAAAAAAACGGAAAAAAACGCAGATCAGATCGCCTTTCTCTCCTTTTTTTCAAACAATTCTCTAGACTGACCTTGTAACCTTGTTCCCCTTATGTTGCCCCCCCCCCTTTTTTTTTCTTTTTTTTCCCCGCTGCTGTTGGTATTGCGCAATGGGAGTTGGCCCCTAGCGACGTTGGCGGACCTACTACGATGGTATCCGGAGTTCGTGTTGAAGCTGGTCCGAACTTGCAGTGTGGCGGCCACTGCCCTTCCGAGCTATCTATCGTCTGCCACTCCCAGAAGCGCCCACCCCCCCCCTCTTTTTTCTTCTCTCCATCCCATTGTTCAGGGGTTATCGAAATATTAGTTCGCAACACGTTCCTATTTTTGAGTTGGCATTGTTTGTACCGATAATAAATCAAATCAAATCAAATTACGGCGGGTATTGTAGCATTCTCGAGATACACAGGCAACAACCTTTAGGCAGAGAAAATGACTTTCGTTCGGCTTGGAAGGAGCATTTTGCACTTCCGGTAGTTCCTTTGTTCATGTAACCTGACAGGTCAATTCTTGTGGCAAAAGTGAGCCACTTTGGCCGCAATAATTCAGAGCACTTTACCAGGTGGCCTGCGCAAGTTTCACTGAATACCATGCGATGTGCCCACCACGCCAAACTGCGCCAAAAATCGGTTCACCCACATGGGGTCCGTTCCCTTCCCGAACTTGGCAAAAATTATCGTCCCATTGGCTCATAATTGTTTCCTCGCCCCTCCCACTTTCCCACACTATCGCACGAAGGTGAAACGGAGAATCTGCGTGAAAATCGATACTGCAGCGCTGAACTAGCCCCTCAAGGCTTTGAAAAATGGCCCGGCATATTGGACTAGCGCATCACCTATTTGCGTTATCACCTAAATGTCCGTACTTCCTAAAGATCCGGGGCAGTCGGTTGAGGAAATTATTCCAAGAACGATACTATAGAAAGCCGTAATCAAGTTACTGAGCATCATAACTCCTGAAATTTCTCTTCATTAGGTTCTCTTCATTAAAAAACAATTCAAAACATGTCAGTTCGCAGAAATGAAAACTCATAGAGTGCGTTCATACTTTGTGTCAGCGTCTGCGTTGCAGTAAGACGTCAGTGTATGCTTGCGAATGCTAGCATACGCTCGAATGCCGGATCAACACCCGTATTTTTCTAGTAGCTCGAAATGCTCGAAACGCTGGCGCTAACTATGATCGCACTTCTAAAAGCGTTTTCATAGCACAATCTCCCATGGCGTTGCGCGTTGCATCTAAGGAGAACATGGATTTTGCAGGTGGGATCAAAGAACGGATTACCCAGGAGGGCCAAAAAAAGACACTTTGATCGAGTCACATTCCAGTAGAGTTTACGCAGCCAAACAGAAGACGTGAACACTATTACCAAGGTGGATGATACCCAACTTGTTCCTCGATGAGCAGGAGCTGGCTCTCGTCTATCACCTTCATGTACACCAAAATATGAAGTCATCTCCAGTCGCAGCCTGACTGGAGAAGACCTTTGGAATTCATGTCACCTCCAAACAGCTGCGAAACTTCTTGTATGGAGTCACCCATGGACAGCTACCTGGAGACCGGCACTCTTGATCTGGAAGACCTCCAACATCGAGCAGCTCCGACAACGTCGCTACGGTCCAGGATATCATCTTCACCAAGGCGCGGGTTGATGGTATGGACCGGAAGTTCCTGGAATGGGAAGACCGATATTTTCTTCGTGGACCCCGGACTGAAGGTGAGCGCTGACGGTTACATCGACCAACTCGAGGAGAATATCCTGCCTTCATGTCGTCGCCTGTACCATCTTGGAAACTTCGTACTGCTACAGGATTGGGTGCCAGCACATGGAATCGAAGGGCGTTGAGTACCTGAAGAAGACGGAATATCTAAGTGTGTCACCTGACCTAAACCCCTCGAATGCCGTGCTCTGTTGGAGCCCAGCAGGGTGACCTACAGTGGCGGAGAAATACGACTTCACTGAAATTAGGCACAGGTCCCTCAATTGCGTTACGTACCGGAGGGCCTATGGCGGGAAGCTTGCCGTTGATTTTTGTGCAATAATTTGATGGGTGGAATGTCCAATCAGCATTCAATAAGTGGAACTTAACGTTTGGCTTCGAAGGGAAAGTTTCTTTTTTTGTCCCCCCCAAACCCTCCGTCCACCTTACCACTTGATATCATCGTGCATTCACAGGATACCTCAAAACTCATGATAATCTTTTTGCGAAGGAAAGGTTGTTTGTCATTTGCATGGGGTAAGGCATACCTCTGCGTCACCCTCAATGGTGCATACCGCCTTCCTAAGACAGTGATGAGAAGGATGTGCCAATTATGGCACGTTGTACGTTGAGGAACCCCAGCAAGGATCGTTTTATCGCTGGGTAAGGGAGAGAGGCAGTTTGCCCGGAGAGACATTTCATTGGTTTTTTTCTTGCTGATGATTTTTCTTGGTTCACGAATGTCACCTTGTAGTTGTCACAGCTACTGCAAATTTTCTTGGATGACATTGTTCGCCACCATTACAGAGCCCATTAGGATCTTGAAAGACATCCCCCGCGCTCCAGTAATTCGTGATCGTCACTGTCGTTGTACAATAGTCCCAGCCCAACTAGAGACTCTCGCAACTTCACAGCGAGCAGAACGCGGGGCTACAAGAAGCTGAAAAGTCTTTAGTTTCTGAGGCCCGCTAAGTTAGATGCCCTTCGCCTGCTGGATGCCCTCTGACGGAGGGCAGCTCAGTTGTTCTTTGTTGGGGCGGCGGGCACTAGTCGAAATTGAATGTCCTTTTTTTGCTGAACTCGTGTGTCCATAAGTAATTCTGCTCTTCTTTATTACATTTTACTCATTAGTAGCACATACAGTCAACTGCAACGCAGCTCGCGGGGTGGAACGCGTGAAGATAACGAGTTACACAATTTCCTTGGTGCAAAACCTCGACGTGCACTGAAAGGTTCACGCCACCATAACCCTCAACTCGTATGCCGAGTTTTGAAAGTTCCCTTTTCTCACGGTTTTTCCGTCGGTGTTTTTGTTGCCTTTCGCATTATTTTTCTTTGTTTTGCCGATGATATTTACTTCTGGGAGCTTTGCGAAAAAGCGGGTTTGCTGATGTCAACAGTCAAGTGGTTGCACGAGGACCGCAGGGCGATGCTGACTGTCAGGGCCAAAGGTGTCTTTGTGAATTCTTAGAGAACTCTTCTTGGTTTTTTTCCTCTTGTGGGAATTATACGTTTATCAGCTACTGTTTCATAATTGAAAGGCGACTATCCAAGACGCTTCATAGCGGGAACTGTTTTAAGTTACCGGACACTAGCCGCATACAAGCAGCAATACTTTTCCGAAGCTTCTACCTCGATTAGGACTCAAAAAGCGCCAAGCCACATCACTTTGACACTCATAAAGGCGCTTTTGCTCGTTGTCATACAAAACCCCTACCGTACCGTGCATCGTCCTCTGCAAGTTCGAACTTCTGTTTATAAAAATGATTATCAATCAAATGGTACAGGAAATACTTTGCGCTCAAGGGCATGGTCCGCGATAGGGCCCGTAGGTAGTGGTGTTGAAATATCAAGGAGAAACTGATGCGCCTGTGGAGAGAGAATAATGAAAGTCATGACGCCTTCAAAAGATCTTCCCACAGCCTCAAATTCCACGAACCGGGTAACAAGGACACGTATACGTGGTTCTAAAAGGACAGGCGGCTTGGGAGGTGTCCACTCGGCTGCTCCTTGTGATGTACCGTAAAAGACAAAGGAACATCCGTTTCATGTTACTTGTCTCTGTAGCACAGCCAAGGGACTCTAAGGCGGACTCTTAGCGTCTGGAGGTGCAGTCACTGGGAAAATGGAGGTGTCCCTGGAGCATCTTTGCGCCTCATCTCCTTTACCCTTGCGACATTTCGCGGCGAGACTGGACGCAACGTCTGCAGACCATTTGCTTACTGTGCCGCGTAACATTTTGCATTTTCATAGGTCATCGCGGATATTTCTTTAGAATTGCTCGCATATACCCAAGGCTGTATCGATGTTCTAGAACAGATATGATATAACCCTAGAAGATCAGCTTGCTCTCAAAATGCTTGCTCCGATGATAGTTCAGCAATGACGCATGAGACGAGCTTTACTTCAGCGCAGGAAGCAGCAGTGAGAGATGTAAGGCAGCGCTGGTACTGCATCCTAGGACCATCAATCTTGCTCAGGTGAAAGGGTGCTTTTTAGCTCGGGCTCGGAGCTCGGGAAATGTTAATCGAAATTACGAAGACTGTGGAGGGGGGGGGGAACTTAGACATCAAACAAACCCCTAAATTTTGACTCACTTGAAAAACTTACCTAAGAAAAAGCTCAAGCTGAAGATATGAAGACATGGTGGTGCTGAGTACGAAAACGGAGTCTCGTCTTCAAATCCTGTTCGGCCCGCCCACCCCTACAGCATTCTAGGCATAAGGAAGTAAACACATTGCCTGGCAACGATGACGAACAATCATGTCAGAACAATCATGTGATTATTGTGAGCTCAGCTTGAGTAGGACCAGGAAAAAAAACTAGTTTATCTTTATCCTTCAGAGAATGCTCTTGGGACAGTACCACTTACCATCACCATCTTCATCTACGGCTGTTCGACATTCCATATAATCTTTCTGAACATTCCCTGACCCTGATGAACCGTCCTCCTGGGCTAAGGGTGGGCTTGAGTGGGCAAAGCGTGACGGTACGATTTCGGTTTGATTTGCATTTATAAGCGGAGGCGCACCAATTTCTACTTGATCTTATTGGAGCAAAAGTTTAGACCGTTTGTGCAGCTTTCCCTCCTCTACTGAACGGTTACCCAATAGTCCCTCTGCACTGATAATGACTGAAAGAGCTGCACCCAAATATATTCAGGCCCAAACGTACCATTACTCTTTTCGACCTGAAATGTGTATTAAATGGGAAATATCTTCAAGTTTGCAAAAGCATTCTATACAGACATAGTGGTTTGCTGAATCCTTTCTGACTTTGATCTTTTCACGTCTCAGGGATGTGAGGGTGAGGGATGGGATGACCGATGTTAAATCCGCGACATCGGTGGCTAAGGCAGCTTTAATACTTCGCGACAGCAGCGGCGATCGTAGCGATCGCGCGATCGTCGGTACAGGTCAGAGCGCGCCCAGCGCTACTACTTGAGCAGCTTCCGAACACTGTTAGAAAGAATCGGCCTTGGTTTGCGTGCTTTTTTTAAATTGCAGAAATTGCTTTCTGGTACGAAAGCTATCTTTTCGGCTCAGGGAAGCAAGGACCAAAGTTGATGGCTTCTCATTTGTAATTTCTGTTCGAATTCAGGACACAAACAAGCTAAAGGCAGTTGGCACGATAAATCGCTATACAGGTGTAGAATTTGTACAACTGGCTTAACAGAATTCCGTGACCTCGGACAGGCGCTGCGTGAAGCCTTTTCCAAGGAGGGTACCTCTATAACGCCCTATTGAGCAACAACTTTACGTCCCAAACGCCTTCCTTGCCCGCCCGCCCACAAAACGGACGACGTTTCTGACGCTCGTATTCATTCATTTGCTGAGCAAATTATGAAGCAAAGGGATTGGTATGAAGCGGCGGTGATGCTGCATGCATATATGGGTACAAATATGCAGCCGTACTACACATATGCAGCCGTATCTTCGGTAGCGGTGATTGGCAAGATGCGTACGGGAAACTCGTCCGAAATCGATTTACAAGTCACTGAGAACGGAGGCTTTTTCTTCGCCGGATTTTGACCGTTTCACTCCGTTCTTTCGCCATTTCCCCACTATACAGCGCCCTACTAGCATTTTAGGCTAAGTAGGAAACCATCGTGCCAACTGCCTTTAAAGCGTGGGAGCTTTATTCAGGGCAAGTTCCTTGTTGTTTCTCTTTTTCATCCTTCGAGCTTATACATGGATTAACACGTTGACGACAACGCGCGTTTTTACTTTTTGGCCGCGTGGGACACGCGCTTTCTTGAACGCCACAAACGCGGTACGCATACAATTCAAGCCGTCCCACAAAGCGCTTTTTTGGAGATTGGATCGAAAAACCTGGTTTAGAGAGCAATTGTGAGGTAAGTCAATTATTTACTATGGAAAAATCTGGGCTGGCCAACTCTCTTTGCACCAGGCGCCCAATCAATGCAACTTTTCGTTGGCGGACCACATTGAAAAATTTCCTGAGCACGAAAGCACGAACTATATTCAAGACTGTGCCTGCAGTAGGCGTATTTGTAAAGTGTGCTCATGTAGACAAGGGCACAATCCATGAGGGTCTGCCACTATCTCTGGTCTCTTAGCAATATCAGTACCCTTGGCAAGTCACCAAAGAAGCTGTGATAGACTACAGATCGTGATAGACTGAGTGCCTTCGCTGTGGAAGTGAACTAATGTCGATTTCATGGAGATGAACGTACAGTCATCTTCATTGCAGACCGGTGGGGCGGGTGAGCCGCGCTGCGCGTGACGCGGCTGTGACGCGACTGTCATGACAGTCGCGTCACAGCCGAGTCACGCGCAGCGCGGCTCAGCCGCCCCACCGGTCTGCAATGAAGAGGACTGTAGTGGGCGTGACTAAAACTAGGACTTGTGGTATCCCGCAC